TGCGGCAAAACCGTGCCAGGGTTGCAATTTAGGCTCCGCCCCTGACTCCGCCCAGTTTTCTCCTTTTCTCTTTTTTCCCCGGAAATTTTTTTCTCCGGAATTTGCGGGGTCTGCCTATTTCGGAATGTGCGCCCCACTGTACTATGTTATGTTGGCATTTTCTGTGCCTTGAACACCTATAATTTTCCCGTTTTCTCTTCTTTATAGTCATTAATAACCTAGAAATGTTATTAGTACTAATTGACAACAAAATTTTCAGTTAACATCATGCTCAAATTTGTGGCATTCCTATCGATTTTCGCTGCGCTGGGCTCGTCAATCGAGCTAACCTTCGAACTTCCAGATAATGCGAATCAGTGTTTCTACGAGGATCTGAAAAAGGATGTCGACACCGTTTTCGAGTTCCAGGTTTGTCAAATCTGCGTTTTCGCTTCTCACCCAATTTTTATTCAGGTTGTAACTGGAGGACATTATGATGTAGATTTGATTATCGAAGATCCAAATGGAAAAGTTCTATACAAAGATACTAAAAAGCAATATGATAGCATCAACTTCAAAGCAGAAGTTGAAGGAACGTACAAAGCTTGCTTCTCAAATGAGTTCTCCACATTCTCCCACAAGATCGTGTACATGGATTGGCAGTTTGGAGACCAAAATGCGTTACACGCCGCTGTTACTCAAGGAGCTCATGCTATGACCCAATTAGAGAATTACGCCGTCGCTATCGGAGATAAATTGAGAACGGTAAGTGTTTTGAGCTTCTCCAATGCCTGTTTGTAAAAACATTTTTTCCGGGTGAACTACTCGACAGTTTTTCAAAACTTCAGTTCTACAAATAATTGGTCTTGAACGTTTTCCATATTTCCAGATTGATGATTATCAAACTCATCATCGTCTTCGAGAAGCCACTGGCCGTAAACGTGCAGAGGAGTTGAACGAGCGTGTTATGATCTGGTCCCTGGGACAATCAGCTGTTGTAGTCTTCATTGGAATCGGCCAAGTTTTCCTGCTCAAATCATTCTTCAATGACAAAAGAACTCGTTACTGATCAAAATTTATATTTCTGTAAAAAAGTCTCTTCAATATAATGGGTCCCTTCAGTTGTTTTTGCCCCCTTTCCCGTTTTCTTCATAGCATAAGAATATAATTTATTGATGATTGTTTTGTTAAAGTATAACCCGAAACAGCTTGAAGATCTTACAAGAAATTATTCAAGAATATCTCCGTTTAGGATAGACATATATTGCTCAAGTCTCCGGAGAAGGGCGTCGTTTTGGTTCAAGAGAGTTTGGATTCCATTGATGAGAGTTTTGCGTTTCTCGCGGTTACGCTTCGCCTGAAAACTATAGTTTTTTGTCGATCTAACGCTACGAAGCTTACTTGATTATCTGGAGTTGCATCCGTGATAATGTTCATACCGTCAAGCGTCTCCAGGTGCCGTTCTGCTTCTTCATTGAAAAATTTCACTTTCTTCTCTAGTTTCTTTCCCATCTCGACTTGCTTCGGTTTTTCTAAAAAGCCCCGTTCCAGATCGGCAACGTCCTTCAGATTGACATCATAAGTCTTCTGAAGGTTGCTGAGATTATGCTTCTCGTATTGCATGAGCATTTTGAAACCGGCGTCATCGGCCATTGCATTCTTTCCACCCATCACAATGATTTTATCGTTCTCTTTGAAGTTAATAGTGGACAATGAGACGTCCGCTTCGCCTTGGAGGAACTTTCCTGAACAATTTCCACAAAATTTGAAAAACAAAGTTCAAGAACTGACCTCTATGGAGCAGCTTCATTGTTTCTGCATCCACATCGTTGTCTGCTGCAATCCGCTCACGAAGTTGTCCAAGAGTGGAAATAGAGTTTTCTCCTTCAGATTCATCCAGGATATCGACTATTGTTTGTACGGAAGAGCACGAGACAACAAGTTTCATAGCTGAAAACTAGAACAATGATTAATAATAGTTCCAGGGAATAGAATAAGAATGAGGAAAGATAGAAAATAGCATGAGGAAGCGTTTCAGCAGCCGACAAAATGTAGTTCTCAAGAAAATTCGGTGAAGAGAGAAATCATCGGTTGTGTTTCATAGCCCGATATTCTAGAAATTTCTAGAAGAAGCTGGAAAAATCCAGAAGAGTCGAGATGATTCCTAAAAACAAACTTCGCGAGTAGTCACAAAGCTTCACACTAGGGCACATTTACACCTATTGCGAATTTCCAGGCCTCGTCGCGAGATGAAAACTTTGCTGTTTTCTCTAGATTGTTCATGTTTGTTGTTGGACGCTAAAAAGGACGGGCGGTGCGAGAAAAAGGTTTTTAAGGTCAACAGACTAAGAATTGTTCGTTTTTCAAAAGATAAGGAAACAGAAAACTAATCATGCTAGAGCGTATTTTGTTTTTAAGGCAAAAGTGGTTTCTTCCTGATTCTGATTCAGAAATACTGAAAAAAAATTCTTCCAAGTTTTGCATAAAAAAACAGAAAGTCTGCGCTGCGAGACCAATTACCGTATAATTCTTGCAATATCATAGTTGCGCCTTTAGAGCAAAAATACTGTACTTTCGAATTTTCCATTTTTTTCCGTCTTTGATTTTTCAATTTTTCTATCGACGTGTTGAGAGCTTGCATTCGTTCGTTGCATTTCTTCTGAAAATCAGAAAATCTCGAATTCAAATCCTCTCGAAACCATTTTGCATCATTTTCGGCCAAAATTCTCCTGCGTCTCTGCTGTTTTTCATCTTTCGCTCGCCTTTCCTTTTTCTCACTTTTTCTCTCGAGTAGAGCATAGAAGCCATTCTGATGTTTTCTCTGCATTTCCATACTTTTTTTTTGCGAGAAAGAGCCCATGAAAATCAGAGTCCTCAGTGATGCGAGAGATGACAGAGAGATACGTGATTAGAGACTTGTGTACGTGCGAAATATATCTTTAGAAAACATTTAGGTTTCCGTTGTGTTCAAGATTTTTGTTCGAGAAACAGGATTCTACCGGAAGAGACAGAGAAGACGAAAAAATGTTCGTAGCTCTGGGTGCTCAAATTTATCGACGATATTTAGGACGTGGTGAGGTTTTTCAACTAACGAGTATGTGATAAATAGCTTAGTCAATGATAAATGTTTACTGGTGTTTCCCAATTTTTTTCTTCAATGTTTTTCTTTGTTCATCTAATTTCACGAACCAATTCTGATCAATGAACAGGAATCATTGGTTTTTTGTCTTCTAAAATTTTACCCACATCATTGTTTTGCTACACTATTCTCTCACTAACAACTTGTATATATATTTTTCTTGTTTCTTCTTACTTCTTTTCAGTTTATTCAAGAAATATAGTTTATACTGATTTTTTCAGGGATGGCTATGGCAAACAACGGAAGCGTGGCTAACAAGGTGTGCCTGATTGTCATTGACGGATGGGGAATCTCAGAGGATCCATACGGAAACGCAATCCTCAACGCTCAAACTCCAGTGATGGATAAACTGTGTTCTGGTGGGGTTTTCCGGGTTAAGGCATATCAATAATGCGGTATTTCTTCAGGAAACTGGGCTCAAATTGAGGCTCACGGTCTCCACGTTGGTCTTCCAGAGGGATTGATGGGTAACTCTGAAGTTGGACACTTGAACATTGGAGCTGGTCGTGTCATCTACCAAGACATCGTTCGCATCAATCTTGCCGTCAAGAATAACCAATTAGTTGCAAATGAAAACTTGGTGGATGCTTGCAACCGTGCCAAGAATGGAAACGGACGTCTTCATTTGGCCGGACTCGTCTCTGATGGAGGTGTTCATTCACATATCGGTGAGAAACGCTGCAATAGTTCTACGTATTTAACTATCGATATTTTTTTCAGACCACATGTTCGCTTTAATCAAGGCAATCAAGGAGCTCGGTGTTCCAGAGCTCTATCTTCACTTTTACGGAGATGGACGTGATACATCTCCAAACAGTGGAATTGGATTCCTTCAACAGACTCTTGATTTCTTGGAGAAGGATGTTGGGTAAGGGTACTGTGCATAATTCAAATAATTTATTGTAATTCAGATACGGAAAGCTCGCCACGGTTGTCGGACGCTACTATGCTATGGACCGTGATAAGAGATGGGAGCGTATCAACGTTGCTTATGAAGCAATGATTGGTGGTGTTGGAGAGAATTCTGATGAGGCTGGAGTAGGTTTGATGGGGCAAAAGCTTGTACAACTTATATTCATTTCAGGTTGTTGAAGTTGTGCGTAAGCGTTATGCAGCCGATGAAACCGACGAGTTCTTGAAGCCAATTATCCTTCAAGGCGAAAAAGGACGTGTTCAAAATGACGATACACTTGTTTTCTTTGACTACCGTGCTGATCGTATGCGCGAGATCTCTGAGGTGAGCTCATACTAGTTCGCGGCTCTCAATAAACCTTCCATTATTCAGGTCATGGGAATGGAACGCTACAAAGATTGCAACTCGAAACTCACTCATCCATCCAATGTCCAAGTCTACGGAATGACCCAATACAAAGCCGAATTCCCATTCAAGTCGTTGTTCCCACCAGCATCTAATAAGAATGTGTTGGCTGAGTGGCTCGCTGAGCAAAAGGTTTCACAATTCCATTGTGCTGAAACTGAGAAATACGCCCATGTCACATTCTTCTTCAATGGTGGATTGGAGAAACAATTCGAAGGAGAAGAACGTTGCTTGGTTCCAAGTCCAAAAGTGGCCACTTATGACCTTCAACCTGAAATGTCGGCTGCTGGAGTCGCTGACAAAATGGTTGAGCAAATTGAAGCTGGAACTCATCCATTCATTATGTGCAACTTTGCTCCACCAGATATGGTTGGACACACTGGAGTCTACGAGGCTGCTGTCAAAGCTTGCGAAGCCACTGATGTTGCTATTGGAAGAATCTACGAGGCTACTCAGAAGTACGGATACTCTCTGATGGTCACTGCTGATCACGGAAATGCCGAGAAGATGAAGGCACCAGATGGTGGAAAGCACACTGCTCACACCTGTTACCGTGTTCCGTTGACGTTGAGTCATCCGGGATTCAAGTTTGTTGATGTGAGTTTTACTACTTCTTTGAATAGTCAACTTATCTATTTTACAGCCAGCCGACCGTCACCCAGCCCTGTGCGATGTTGCTCCAACTGTTCTCGCGATTATGGGACTTCCACAACCCGCTGAAATGACCGGTGCTTCTATTGTTCAAAAGATCTGAATTGATAATCATTTTCTATGAATCTTGCTTCTTATTCCTTTCCCATTTTCCCGTATTTCCTGCTAACTAACTTCCCCGTTGTAGTCGAAAAAAATTCCAGTGATTTTACACCAATTCAGATGTATTTACTATTAGATATATAATTCTTGTGAATATAAATTTTATTGAATAGTACTGCTTCTTCCGGTGCATTGATAAGAAAGGTACCCTGGTCGGTGACTCACACACTATTTATTATTTGCTTATTTTTTTTGTGCTCGTTTGTTCGAGAAACCCCTCCCCTATAGACAGTTGCTCATCCCCGTTTCGTTTCGAAGGGTCAATTGAGGTGACATGTGGCCAGTAGACACACTCGCTGAGCAACATCTGCAGTGCACACTGACAAGATAGATTCGATCGGATTTTTACTTTCGAAAAAAGTCGGATATCGATGGGGTTTCTTTTTCTCTCAGTTTCCCCTAATGTTTCAGTATCTTATCACTTTTTCTAGTGCTCTGTGTCCGAGTGTGTCTCTTCCATTTTTTTCATGATCGTTTCTCGAATTTCCCGAAGAGAAAAATGTTGCAATTCCGTCGCTGCTATCGCACTTTTCTCTCTCCCATTCCGTTTTTCCCGGTCGAGAATTCTCCAGAAACATTCAAAATCAATTGATTGACGTGTGTGACTGTAGCCTAGATACGTGGTTTTGGGTCCATTGAGTTTCTAGTTTTCAATTTATTACTGGAAAAAATTACGAAGTTTTCTAATTGTTTCCCTTTGATTTTTTTTTCACTTTTTTGTTGTTGCTTCAAAAGCTTTTTTGTGTCGCAAAAACGATTTTTTTTTCAGAATCTCAAGTAGCCGTTTTTCAACTGCACACTTCTTCGTTTCCCACGTGGCCGCGACGACTCTCTTCTCAGAAGAGGAAGGTAGGTATTTCTATTCCCAATCATCACAAACAACATAAACAACGAATCTTCTTGTTCTTCTTCTTCTTCTGACGTTGTTGCTCATCTAAATGATCACGTCATTCTCTTTATTTTCATCCCACTCCTTTTTATATTTCTCCGATAGAGCTCTTTTCTCTATCTCTTCTTGTCCCATTTCTGGCATGTCTGTTTATGGAAAGAGCCATTTTTTTTCTGCCGACTCCGCGTTCTCTGCCCACTCTCTTCAGTATTCAAGAGTATTTTCCCGTTTTCAGGGTTCTTTTTCACTGTTGCTTCTTCTTTTTCTTCTCTTCTGCATTCGTTTCCGCCCACATTCGGAAAGAGCCCTTCACATTCATTTTAGTTTCAGCATGCTTTCGGTTTTTGAAATCGATTTCAGCGTTTTTTTTCTAGTGAAAAAAAACTCGGAGCTGTGGAAGAGGAATATCGGCGGCCATGGCCAATGGTCCCGTTACGACATCTACAGTAACCTGAAAATAGTTTTATTTTCCGAGTTTATTTTCTCGTTTTTTACTGTTTTTCCGAACAAGTCGGAGAATAAAAGCTTTTGATAGTAAAAAAATTATCTCAAAAAACGAAATTTGGAAAATAAAACCGTAAAATAAAAATTTTTTGAAAGTTACTTTAGTTTTCGTTGTGGAACCTTTGTGCACCAGAAAATAGTATATTTAATGGTTTTTGATCAATATTAATCCCCCTCAAAAACACAAATTCTTACCCTTGTATTAAGTCGCGATTTTCAAATTTAGGAAGATGCGCATTTTTGAAAACCGGTTTCTTCTTCTTCTCGTAACCCGACTTGTTATTCTATTCGCTTTCTGCACACTGAATTCTCCTTAAACCATCCTATATCATTTGCTTCCCTTTCCCGTCATCGTCATCTCTCCCGCATAGCATAACAAGATCTCACTTGCGGAGATCTCCCGTTAGTGTTTCTTAACTTGAAAATAATACAAACGATTTTACCGAACAAGGAAGTTTGTATAGAAGAAGAAATAGGGAAAGGAGAAAAACTTTCTTTTCATGTTCCTAGTCATACGCAGATGAGGAGAAGAGGAATAATGACCAGAAAGCAGAGGAGGACAAGGCAGAAATGTGTGGACGGATGCGACGAGATTATAATTGATACGGTTTCGAAGATGAAGTGTCAGAAAAAAGAGAGAAAAGCCCGGTTCGTTTGAGGATGAAGAACATAATAGGATTGAGAGAAGAGAAGAAAAGTTCAGAATCCCAGAGTTGATAATAAGCTATAAAATAAGTTCCGTTCTTTAGAAAAAAAATAATCCTTGAACAAGAAACCCCTTTCTTTCTATTTTCATTGGAACAAAATGTCAGTAACAGCATTACAACTATGTCAGACCAGGATAAAGCCGACTACAGCTGATGCTCATTGGGCAACGCTTTTTTGTTTTTCAGAAAAACATAGATGGATTCATCTTGTTTGTTAACCAAATGAAACCAGAATCAAAACTTTCGAGTTTCTAGTTCTTTTTTTTTATAATTTCAGCTTTCCTAACATACCGTAAAACCCGTAATAGATGGGCTCCCACACTGTCAAATTTGAGCTAGATTATATCGGTCCCTATAAAAGATATGAAAAATCTGCCAACAGATAATATGATAAATATTTTATCAGTAGACAATTTTTCGATATCTTTGGCAGGAATCAAGAAAAATTGGCTCAAAGTTGTAAGTTAGGGATCCCTTCTATTACAGGTTTTAAGGTATCCATTCTGGCCGTATACTTGTAAAAACGGTAGGGCTTTTTCCTCATTTGTCAATCTCTTGTCACTAGTTTACATAATTGCATCCACACTATCTGCCACTCATTTCTTTCTCTCCGGCTTCACATTTCCATTTGGTTTTCCCATTTGCAAGTGTCCCGTCTTCTTCAGAACTAGTGTCACTTCTTCTGTTTATCCCCTCATCCCCCCGTTCTTTTTCTTTCACTTTTTCTTTCCTTCCTCTCGACAATTTGTTCTGGATAATGAGAGAGAGAGAGAGAGAGGAAAGAAAAAAAAACCAAAATGGCTAGTTTTCTTTCTCAATCCTCTGGGATACTGTAGGCTTTTTTTTAGTTTTCCCATCCTTTCCGTTTCCATCTTTTTATCATCCCTTTTCAATATAAAATATTTATTTTTCCGTCGTTCTCTCCCTTTCATTTTTATAGCTCTTTTCCCTGTTTTCTCTCCTATTCCCCCCTTTAGTATACATCTACAACTACGATTTCTAGACTTCTTTTGTGGGTTGTTTATTATTCAAAATGAATAGTACAATGAGCATGATCCATAATATTGACACCAGATAGAAATATTTTGTAGATAACTGAGAAATAATATTCACTTTGTATCTACTATTGTATAATGTAAATTTTCGGAATCAAATCGAAACATTACTCTCGATATCCCTGTTTAAATATCGCCCACACTTCCATTTCCGCAAACCGACATAGTACCTCCATTCACCTGGCTCCTATGATTCATTTGGGCTCGTCTTTCATGAATGTATGATACAAGTGTAATTTACGCATTCAGTTTTTTTGCCTGTTCGTCCGGCTAGGAGTGGTTGACCATCGCGCAGAAGAAAGTACCCTTGCAGTGCGACGAACACAGTCATAATCTGGTTTTGTAGAGGTTTTATGTTGTTGGCTGAAGAGAATTGTTGGACAAAATCCCTCTGAATCGAACTGGTGTTACTTGAATTGGATCTTAATCTTTAATGATGTTTTCATTTCATTTTTAGCTGATAAGGTTTTTCAAAACCCCTAGGCATAATACTTGACTTGTGTTGACAATTTACCGTGAACGCTCAATACAAAGACCACCCCTTACTTGAAATTTGAGCTCAATTATCTCAATTTCTATGGAGGATATCGAAAATGTGTCAACTAATATAATGTTGGGGATATTAAGACAAACATTCTATCAGTGGACAGGTTTTCGATATCTCTTATAGAAATTGAAATAAATGAGCTTGTAGTGCAAGTATAGGTACATCTCATTTTGGCCAATTATATCTGAATTTCCATTTCTCTGTTTCATAAAAATTTAATGTATTTGCGCGATCTGTTTGAGGGGGGATTAACACTTATACCCGGATAAAAGGTTTACCTATTAATAGGACTATTCGGCATGCCATCCACCTTAAAAAGAAAGATAGAGGTGGCGCAATAACCTTTCCGATTCGATCTTTCCAAAAGAAAAATGATGGAGTTTATCTCTTTCTGACGGACGTCATCTCCCATTTCCTGCTGAGTAATTGGAGGCGGCAAGTACCCTCTAAACCCAATTGGAGATTGAAATTGACCATGGAACGGGATAATTGAAGTAGGCGTGTTTTGAGAGTATCGATATGAGAAATAGAGAATCTGGAGCTGGAATTTCCGATTTTTTGAAGGACCTATTTTTTTTTTCTAAACTTTAATCGCCCGGATTAATCTAAATCCCCCTCTTTTCATCGTTTCAAAAGTCGAGAAGATGCCCTTCGAAGTCCTTGAAATCTTTTTTATTTTATTCCATTGGTCCTTGTAGAACCTCTTCCCACTTTTTTTGATTCATCAAGGTCTTCTTCTTCTCGCTGGGGGGTACTTTACTACCGAACGGTTACGTGCACATTCATTCACATCCGATACTTGCTGGTCCCCTTACCATTGTAAATATACCATTTTTTCTGCGCTTCTCATACCTACGCGGACTCTACGTACTGTCTCAATGGTTGACCTAGTGTGTGAGATGATCCCGAATGAAAGATCTCTCTTGCGCTGACCGAGAGAAAGAGGCAAGAATAGGCGCCCCCCCCCTCCGACACTTCCTTTAGTTAAAGGAAGGTTGACTCTCTTTTCTCTCATGTTTGCCTCTTTCGGAATGTCTCTCTGGGCGACCTGACCATCGAGACGATTCACGGATCGCACCTCGATTCTCGAACAATTCTCGAACAAATGATGTTTTCGAAAATGCGAAGGCGTTCGTTTTTAGGCATGCCTACTTTCGAGTAAGCTACTGACGGTAGCCTACCGTAATCCATTTTCCATCTCGCTTTTGTATATATCGAATTCAGAGCACTACCACAGGTTGTCTACCAGTATACACTGTGAATGTCTTCATACCATTTTATTAAAGGATATCAAAAGTTTTGATAATCTTCTGATTTTTGATCACTGCCTCTTCTGAAAATATGAGCTTCCTTGTCTATCTCAACACTCCATTTGAAGCTTCTTCGTCCTTTTATTATCTCTTCGAAATTCACTGTTTCGTCGAAATGCCTATCCGGTTCTAGATTATGAAGTCATCGTTGTCTCTCCCTCATCTTCAAATTCGTTATTCAATTACACTTCCGCAGTCCCCCGTTCCCTCAAAATTCCTTCATTTTTTTTCATAAGGAGAAGCTTCTGTCCTCTGCGCCCACCCACCCACTTTGTCCTTCACAAAACAAATGATGTTGACGTTGAAAATTGTGTCATAATAAAAGCTGAGGGCTCGCGTCGTCGTCGTTTTTGAAACAACTGATAAGGCTCTGTCAGCGCCTGTTTGTACTATGAAAAAGTGTTTCAGGCAATCGTCAATTTCTGTTCTTATTCTCTTATCACAGAAACAATCGGGGTTTTGAATAATGATGGGAGTGAAAGAAAGGAGTACGTAATTTATAAATGATAGGCATTTATGGCATGGAAGGTCTACTTGTTTTCCTTCGTTTTCAGCTCAAATTTTATTACGGATTTCTAATACAGTTATGATATGAGAAAGTACTGTAAGCATTTTTTTTTGGATAAAAATCTCTTGAAATTTCATTTTCTTTGAAATCTGTTAATAATATTAATAGCTCTGATAGAGGTATAAGGTCAGTTTTTAACTGTTGTCTTGATACATGTGGATGGCCGGGCCGGGCCGGCCCGCTTGCCTCAAAACCCTCAGCCCGGCCCGGCCCGCTCGGCCCGCCTAGGACAACTTTTCGAAAATGTTACTTTTCAAATGTGCCAATACATTTTTTATAGCACAAATATTAATTCAAATGGCCATCTTTTCCACAAGTATGGTTGTCTTCCTGAAACAGGAGTCCTGATCTTATCGAACTTCCCCTTTCGCTCCTCCCTAAACTCTAGAACCTTCTTTCCTTTCTCTTCAAAGTTTCCATGGTTGTACAAATTGTCGCCTATACTTCAATATCAATTAAAGATAGTGCACACTGATATAGAATTCTACCTAATTTTTTGTCTTGCGTTTCGAATCATGTGAAGAACAAGAGTTCTTCAATTTTCACGCTCCCCACGGTAGAAGAGATAAGGTCAAATTTCATATAAATACCATCGTTTTTTCTACTATTCTTCTTCCTGATATGTAGGTCACTACGCCCACCGGGATACATCATGATCGTCAGTGCGAGATATAGATGTGGTACCTCTCGAAGAGAATAACTCACGAACTGGTTTTTTTCTGTTTTTTGTACATTTTTTACTAGTTGAATTTGGGCAGAAGGAGATTCGGAACATGTGTGTTTGCGTTCCACAAGAATTTGCACTTTCCCATCTGGACCCGAAAATTTTCACAAAGTTTTTTTGTTCCTTCCCATTCCTCCCTATCCGTTCAAATCTAGTGACCTCTGTGAGATCTGATAGGTAAACTAACCACTCTCTCGGCCCCTACTAGTTTATCGTTTAGCAAACAGTAAGCTGGTGTCGGCTCTCGCACGGTGCTCTTTTTGTCGTCTAAAGGACTTTTGACATTTCACGTCACTCTCTCTTTCATTTGGCCATTGCATAGCGGTTTTTGTCAGCTGATGATCCTAGTTGAAAACTTATAAAGTATCAGAAATCATCCTAGGATTATGCAGATTTTGTTGTTTTGGAAAAAACCAAACCAAACAAATGTTTTCTATGTTGTTTTCAGTATGCACCTAGTTTTTCCCCCTATCTGTTCAATATCTTTCCCACGCCTTCCCAGTTTTGTTTTACGATTATCCTTTTGTTGATCCACAATACATTTATCGCCTCTTCCCGCTGACCACTATTCCATTAGAAGATAACGATCTTCTAGGTAGAAGAGATTGTGATGGACGAATACAATTGCGCTCAGTTCGTTCTTACTCCAAAGACAGATAGACAACTCTGTTTTTATCTGCTAGTTTCTATTGAATTTTCAGAATACTTGATATTTTTTCTTTTTCTATTAACCCTCATATATTTTTATGGATGCTTTATATACCCCTCTTGGGCACTTGTGTGCCATCCATATGCTCCAATTTCTCCTCAAAATCCTATTCATCCTTTTTAACAGTTTCCCATCCCTCTGCGCTTCTTCTTCTCTATGCTGTTTCCCGCCTTCTTTTTCAATTCAGCGAGCATTTACATAGACAGCTAGAGAAGACACAGAAATAACATGTCCGTTCAAGAGACCCCAGCTGGCGCAAGACATCGCTGCGAAGGCAGTTTGTCGACGTGTCCTAGGGCCTAGTTGGCGAACCGTTGTGAAATCGCGCTTCAGACCCAGAAAAAGTCTTCTTGTTCATATCAAAAACGATTGTCTAAGAACCCAGACTCATTAGGGTTTTCCTCATATTCGCCACTTCTCTGATTGGCCTATCTAGTACCCTCTGAATCTAATTTTCCAGAGGGTACACACACTTCCACGTTTGGCCACGTGTCGTCTTCCATAGAAGAAATGGATCCGGAATTCGAGCTCGATGGTATTGGACCATCAGAAACTCTGATGATGTTGGCCGGAAACATTCAACCTCATAATGGCCACGAAGAAAATTCTGCATGGATGGACGATCAATCATTTTTTGACTTTAATGATCCAGCATTTTTTGAAAAGAACTGTAAGTTTCAAATTTCAGTGTTCAAGAAAATAAAATATACTTTTTAGTCGACAGCACGGACCCAGACAAGTTTACTGATGACCTTCTCGACAAACTTGACGCAATGGGTGAAGACAATTTTGGATTAATGGATGATAACAACTCGGACTCGATGAATGAGCACTGCTACAGTTTATCACCACCAGACTCTGGATCTCTTCCAATCTCTCCAGCAAGCACATCTCCCTCATCTTATCATTCTTCCGGCGGTGAAGATAATATGGATAACTACTCGCAACTTGACATCCTTCAACGGGCTGAAAACGAAATTTTCGAGGTTAAAGAGGAAGACTACGAAATTTGCAGTGTGAGTTTTTTTTTGGAAAGGAGAGCTTCTGCCTTGTTATTTCTTCTATGTATTAAGTTACATCACATTTCTAAGCAGAGGCCAAACAGGCAGTGTTTAGGATTTTCTCTCTGTTTATGCTTAGGATTTATAAACAATGTGATGGTTGTGGGTAGAAAAAAGACCCATAGCTTGTTGTGGAACTATTAAACTAAACATTATCATAAGAAGATAAAGATTTCGGTTACTGTAGTTTTCAATTAATTAATTATTCTATTTTTTTTAGAGTGGACCACTGATTGCATACACAAATACCAGTAATGCCTCAGTGAATACTCAGCATTACCAACAGCAAAAGAGACCGAATCAAGCGAGCTATCAACCACATCAAAACTCAAATGGGCTTGTTCGATTCAGTGAGTTGTTTTTAGAGTCTATTGAAATGAATACCTCTTGAAACCGGAGCATATCTATTTTCTTCTCTCCATTGGATTTTAATAGCTGATTCTCTTGCAACAAAAACGGACATCAAATTCAATGTTTGATGATCGTTGTTTCGGGAGAAAAGAGTTCCAAATTTGAAAGCATTTATTTCCTTTTCTTTCCCCCATGTTTGTACAAACCCTCTCTTTTCCGTCCACCACTAGCAAGCACACAATCAAAAGGCGCGAATTGAACGGACGGACAAAATCGGCCCGGCCGGTGGTGTTTTCTGTTTCTCTCCCTCTCGGTTTCTCTTTTTGTATGCGTGTGTGGGTGTTTGCACAGTTGGGAACGGACACAGGATCGACGATGATGAAAAAGTAGAATCGGCGAGAAAGAGAGAATCGATTTTAATTTAATTTTGACACAGCGGTGAAATTGAAAAAGGGAATTGTATGAGAACAAAAAAAAACACAAAAAGGGGGTGTCTAGATCATGAGATACTGTATCCAACTCGAGATTTTTGAAAATTCTGAAACTAAAACGTTCATCGATCATCGGGGCTTTATCAGGAACGTCAAATCATTTCTTTATCGATTCCTTTTAACCCAATAAACTCTGTACATCGCACGTAACATAGTTGATCCTCCTATCTCATCCATTTATTGCGTCTAGGCGACTTTGCGATTGAAATGATGATAGAGGCTGGTACCAACTTGTACCCATCAGCATGTACAAGACATGAAAAATTGAAGGGGTGAAATTAGTACTTGCAGGGATTCAAAAGTGGATTGTGAAAATACTAATTTTAGTTTCAGAGCCTGGTCAACAACGAGTGCTCAATCCAGCTAGTATGTCTCTCAACGCATCCTCCTCATCGTACATTCCATCTACACCGTCGTCAACGTCATTATCGTCTGGATTCGTAAAACCATCAACAGGTCGCAAATATCCACAGCTGACACTGACAGAAGAAGAGAAACGATTGTGCAAGAAGGAGGGAATCTTGTTACCAGAATCCTATCCACTCACGAAAGCCGAAGAACGAGACCTGAAACGTATTCGCAGGAAGATTCGAAACAAGCGCAGTGCACAGACAAGCCGCAAAAGGAAACAGGTGAGTTCATTTCAATGATGATCATGATGATGACCTTTTTACTGTTTTCCTAGCGGGGATGTTGACCTAGTGCCAGGTGGTGGCAACCTTACAGTGAGCACATTTTTTGTTTGTGAGAGAAAAAATGAGACACTAAGTTTTTCGGGTCTGTGGCAAATATTTATATCCGGATGAGAAAGTACATTGGAAAACTAGTTGCGATAGATGAAGTTTGGCATGAGATTACTGTAGTTTGGCGTCTTTTAGGTTACAAAGTGCATTTCTTTTTCCTTCCATTTGGTATTGTCACTTCTGTGACAGAATACTTCCAGAAACTGTCAATCTTGTATTAATAGTATGCTTAGTGTCTGGCAAATGTCAATTGAATCTTCGATCATCTTCTTCTTCTCGTACAACCTAAAGTTTTTCAAATTTAGGGCAACACAATAGTCACCTCATTTGTTATTGTTCACATCAACAACATATACTGTGAAAACATGTGTTTTTCGTGTCGTCAGCTGACCGCATTCGTTCTTCTCTCAACCTCTTAGGACGCCATCCTTCTTTTTTTTCAAAATAGGCCATGGACATTGGGTCGGGAAGAGAAGAGCGTGAGAAGCCCGAAGACCTTGAAATGAGAAGAGAATTCTTCGGGATTGACCTCTCCTCTTTTTCTCATAGACAGGGGATATCTGGATCAATAGTTGATTGGGACAATGATCACAGCGGTTTCTCTCATCGGAACTCTGTCTTACAAAGGGGCTATTGGAGTAGATGTAGATGAGATAAAATCTGAATGAGGCATTCTGAGCGGGAAAGGGGAATAAAGACGATGTCAGAATAAGTGAGGTCATTATCATCAATCATCCTAATTATGGGGTTTTTGAAACTAATAATTATTTATTACAGGACTACATTGAACAACTTGAAGACCGAGTATCGGAATCGACAAAAGAAAATCAAGCACTGAAACAACAAATCCAACAACTAACCAGTGAAAAACAATCAGCGCTCTCTCAGATCAAGAAGCTCCAGGCACAACTATATCAATGCACAAAGAGAAGCACTCAGGCTGGAACATGTTTGGCTGTTATTATGCTTTCGGCGTGCCTTCTTGTTGCACCACAACTCAATCCATTGGCACACCAAGATGCTCAAAACGCCATCGAATGCATTGATGAGGCTTGTCAGCCAACAGTTACATCTCCGAATTCTCCAAATTCGGAACAACAAACTGTTGTCGCCGTTCCATCGGCCGTTGTTCCATCTGCTGGACCAGTTATGGTCCCATCGAACGTCAACCGACAAATGACTAGAAACTCCGTGACAAACCACAATCACAATAGCAGCAACCATAACAAATATCAATCTTCTGGGAACCTGAGCCACTACCACATAGCACTGGATAATTCGAATCATCCTCCGCCAACGTTACAACCACAGCAACACTATCAACAACAACATCCACCTTCGATGTATCGTCGTAGCGACGAGACGATATCGATGGCGATGGCCAAGATCGGAGGGCGTAAGCCTTCTTCGACCTCGTCGTCATCGGCTTCGTCAGTCTCGTCGTCGACGTCTTCATCGTCGGCAACGTCGCCCATCTACCGTACTTCTCGTACGCTAGGAGCTTTTGAAGACCAATGTGATGCTGCCTCGGATAACACAAATTGTGCCAATATGCCACCATTGGTTCCAATGAAGATGGCTGGGCAGCCGTTGAAGAGAAAGATTGTCACGATGTCGGCTCAACCAAGAGTCGCCTACAGAGCGGTTCCAGCCTCTGTTGTGAACAATGGACAGTCTCAATTTTACAAAACGCAACAGCCACAACAGCCGAAAATGCAATTTGTGACTATGGATAGGCCAATCAAGTATGAAGTGGTAAGTTTTTTTTCATTGGAAATCCTACTGTAACACACACACCACACTCCTCAGTTTCCATTACACCATTCCAAATCTTAATTTCAGTTTCAGCTAAGCGACTACGTCAAAGTCGAAGACGAAACTTCTTCTCTTCGTCTTCCAAGCTCGTGGTCCACATCTGCTCCACGTCTTCAACCCCAAGTCAATGTTTCTACTTCCCGTAACATGCGTCCTCTGACCGTTGCTACTCCAATTCATCATTTCCAACCAACACCAGCAAAGAAAGTCAAGACCCAAATGTTTTAAAACTATAATGAGCTCCTGAAAATTATGAAAATTATCTATATCCCCCAATCCCTCTCTCATGATCCTCTCGGTCCCTCCAAGACCCGGTAATTCGAATCAAACAAAAAATAATAATCAGTAGTTTTTCTCCTGTTTTCCGTTTGCCCCCCTGATTTTGCACTAGAGTTGACCTCTGCCATCTATCTTCCCTGTTTTTTCATTGTTAACCAAAAATGTATTTATTCCAGATCAACATATAATTTATCGTATAGAGCTCTATATACTTCTAAGTCTATTGCCTCCTTGTCACAAATTTCTTCCAAAATAGTCGTCGCCCATCTGAGATATCCAAAACATAAAGAATCTAATCATCATTTTCCTTTCCAATCTATTTATCCCATTTCCCGGAAAAAGTTTCCAGAATTTTCCATGTTAACCCGGGTTCACACTGTCCTTTTCTTTTGCTCTTTTAATTTTTTGGAGTTTTCCCTCCATTTCTTTCTTGATTGTTGAGTTTTACCCCTTTTCTTGTTTTCATTTCCTTTCCCATCTATTTTTCTCGTTCATATTTCATAACCTCCCCGAAGTCAATCACTTTTCTCTCCGATTCTCCTTCTTTTTTCCCCATTTTCCAATCAAAAATTCTATTCCCCACCACGATCAAAAAGTATTGAAATATTGCAATATTTAGTCCGTTTCTTTGTTCTAAAGACATCTTTCATTTTAACCAATCAGAGATTTGAAGCACCCTGAATAAACCCTTTTTTGCTGTTGGTGTTTACTCTCTTCACATTTTTCAGATATCTAAATATCGAGTTCATCATGACAATCATGATTTTCCAACGTAACCTGTTTTTCTCACAATGAGAAGGCAGTGCAGCCAACTCACTGGTGTTAGGCTCTAACAGTTGGAGCTAGGAATTCAGTTCCAATTGTGAAGATGATCTGGTGTCAATTGATCATAATTCTCCATCTAATTGCTCCGATTGAAAGCAAAAAATTGACAGAGGAAGAGAACGAAAAACGTCTAGAGCAGTGTGGTGTGACAACGAAATGTAGGCAAAAAGTCAACTCAAAAATTAGGATCCTCGTTTGAATTCAGCAAAAATATTCAACGGAGGAATAGTTAGTGATGATCAAGCACCATGGGCGGTGGTTGTTAGAGTGGCCAAATCCGATGGAACAGGAACGATATGTTCTGGAACTTTGATATCGCCTCGTCACATTCTGTCGGCTACTCATTGCTTGGCAAATCATTCTGATGTTCAGTGGATAAAAACATACGTGGGGTTCAAATTCGACCGAGAAGATTGTCCGGAAAATGAGTGAGTTCGGTGGTTAGAGAATTTGAATTATTGGACAAGCGGATGTTTTCAAGAATGGTTTAGGTGTTTTTAACAAAAAATAGGCTGTATCTGAAGAGTTTTCTTAAATTGAAAACTTTTCGAAAAATTAAAAAAAAATTGATGGTTCCGAAAAATGACTGAAAATACCTAATCTTAACCAGAAATACGGACCCGTTTTTTGACAACATCTTTGGTCCGTTTTTAACCGTTTTCTGGACTGCCAAAGAATCGTTTTCCTATTCGACTCAAAAACAGAATAGATACGAAGTGCCGTTTAATGGCCCTTTCCAGTCCGGTATTGGTCGGTTTTTTGACAGTTGTTGTTTTTGGTCTATTTTCAGGTTCCTTTATGTCTGTTTTTGATCCGTTCGACTGGTCTTAAACGATCCAAAAACCGATCAAAAACAAACCAAAAACGACGGGCCGTGTTTTATCAGTTTTTTGGACCGTTTCGAGTTGTTTTCAATCTTTGTTTGGCCCAAAAGAAATAAAACTCGGATTGGTTTGTTTTTGGTCTGTTTTTGGCCCGTTTTAAATCCGTTTCGAATGGTTTTTGGCTCATGTTTTGATCTGTTAACTGGTTTTTAATATTTAATTTTGAAAAATAATATCACGTTATAATTGCAGACACATAATCGTTCCTGAAGTTAAAGCCAGTAAAGTTTTTGTTCAGGACAGAAAGGGAAATGATATTGGCCGAGCAAAATTTGTAAGTTTTAATTTCTACTCTTCCTAGACCGATAATGTTTCTTTTTAGCTGTACCTACTCAATTTTTGTCGCATACTTACTAAGGATGCTTTTCAAATTCAATCTCCGGATGATGTAATGATTATTGAGTTGTCAGAAGACTTTGAGTATACTTCAGAAGTGAAACCAGCTTGTGTATCTAGTAAATTAATTTCAGTAAAGATATTCTGCTTATGAAAATTTTTTCAGATAGCGTAGAAGATTACAAAGGGGGAGCAATAGCCAGACTTTTTGGTTTTGGAGACAATCGTAAATTTTCAGTTTTGTGATTTCTTGATTCAAACTTTTTTCAGCTCCTAAAGATAAGCCATCAACTCCCGACAATCAAAAGCCACCGAAGCCACCATTGCGATCCGAAGAACTCGATGTTAGGTTAATGAATTTTTATCCATTGAATTCAAAAGTTTCAGATTCTGAAAGTCAACGTTGAGGGGACTCTGAATCGTATTGATCCCAGGTTGTTCAAAGCCAGAAGTCGCAATAAGAATAGTATCATGTGTCCGGTGAGCCAAACAATTTCAAAGGATTTTCAGCAATGATTAATTATAAGTGATGTTAAGGGAGACTCGGGAGGTGGCGCAATTCGTATAATTGGTGGTAGAAATACAGTTGTGGGAGTGGCTATGCAAAGTATAAATACTTCATATACTCACGTGGGTTCAGGCGAGGGGGTCAGAAAGCG